TCCCAATCACAGGCCCATTATTGTGGGCTGGCAATGGATTGTTGGTCACATTTGCGACATCCTCATCCCTCAGTACGATTTTTCCTTGCTCTATTAGATGTTCCACTGCTCATTTTAGTGTCCAACAGTCATTTGTATCATGGCCTTCTGCCCCTGAATGATAAGCACACCTCACACCGGCTATGTAGGCAGGCGATGCCGGGTTTTGTCTGTTCTGAGGGACCGGCTGCAGTAGACCCATTTGGACAAGTTTTGGAAACAAATTAGAGTAAGATTCACCAATTGGAGTAAAAGTTTACCTCCTGGGTGGCTCACGGGGAGGAAAGTTATTCTGTGGAGGACGGGGATTATAGTGGTTTTGGTGGGGAGGCTGATTTCTTGGGAATGGAACTTGGTTTCTATTGGCATATGGCTGCGGCCGAGCAAAGGGTTGAGCATTCATGACCGCATAAGGTGGAGGAGCATAAGCCATATCATGATGAGGGTAGTAATGTTGAGGGGTTCTTTCGGAAAACACAGGTCTAGGAGCCCGGTATCTTCTTGCCCCTGATGTTTCCATAACCGTTTCCTCTTTCTTTTTACCTTTGGCCATTCATCCAGACCCGCCTTGGATGGCTTGGGAGGTTGCCCTAATGGCTGACTGACTCAAGATTCTTCCTGTCTTCAGACCATTCTCCACCATCTCACCGATCTTAATCGCCTCTGTAAAAGGTTTGCCCATGGCTGACATCATGTTCTGGAAATAATCCGCTTCCTGGACCTGAAGAAATACGGTGACCATTTCCACATCATCCATTGGAGGTTTCACCCTCGACGCTTGCTCACGCCACTTAATAACATATTCCCTGAAACTTTCTGAGGGCTTCTTCTTCAAATTCGCCAAAGAGTTCCTGTCCGGCGCAATGTCGATGTTGTATTGAATCTGTCTCACAAAATCTCTGGCAAGGTCATCCCAAATGTGCCATCGGGAGTTGTCTTGATCCATATACCATTCCGAGGCGATGCCTACCAAGCTTTCTCCAAAGTAAGCCATTAACAACTCCTCTTTTCCGCCAGCCCCGCGCAATTGGTTGCAATACTTTTTAAGGTGAGCAATGGGATCGCCATGCCCATCATACTTCTCGAACTTTGGCGTTTTAAACCCCATGGGCAGGTGCACGTGAGGGAACATGCACAGATCAGTATAGGAAACACTCTTCTGCCCGCTTAAACCTTGCATGTTCTTCAGACTCTGCTCAAGGCTCCTCATTCTTTTTGCCATCTCATCCTGTTCAGGAGCTTTAGGCGTTTTATCTTGTCCGGGTGTGAACTCGAATGAGGGTGGCTGCGGATAAGTATATGTGGGATATTGAGGAGGATCCACCTGAAAGACAGGGTTTTGGAAAGTGAAGGCCGAGGGATCAAAAGCGGGCCTTGGAAGTGAAGGTTGTGTTGTGGCAGAGCATGGTGGAGCGGTAAAGATATTGGGAGCTACTCCTGATGTGAACACCTGGGGGCGGACCTCAAAAGGTGTTCCTACAAAGTGAGCGGATATGGTAGGGGTCCCAATGGAGTATTCGGATGACTGATGGGGATGTTAGAAGTACCCCCGGTTCTAGGGAACAATTCAGGATGCCGGGGATAGCACTCGGAGGCTCCCTTCCATTAGTCCATGCATCCCACATCTCCATAACCCGGAGATGTAAGATTCGATTTTCTTCGGCTGCTGCAGACTCGGAAGCTGGGATCCCCGAGATGGGGCTGTCTTCAGGAATGGGGACTGCTGGCAAAGTCATTTCAGACGACATTTCTATACTCCCTTTTAATCTGGTAAAGCGATGCCAGTTTACCAAAAACCAACCACCGTTTCTATAAACCTAAGCTGGAAATTGACAGCAACAAACGGTTAGTTTGAGACAAGTAACAGATAGGTAACCGCACATTGGGGTGTGATGCACCTATACAATTAAATGGGTGTCTACATGTTTGCAACGGTTGCATGCGTCAGAGCTGTCACACCTCCTTTCTACACACTTATCCCGAAGGATAATGTATAAGGGAGTTTTTCCAATTTAAGTGACATTATTCGAAATGGGATTATTTATTTGTTCAGAGTCGCCACTTGGGATAGGTTTGGCTTTTGGTGTCCCAAGTCACCGGTTTATCTTGAATCCCAAATCGAGGAAATTTCGACTACCCGAATGGAGTCTGCGAACCAGAAATTCTGAATAAGGAATTCTGTTGACCCGAGGGAAGGTGTTAGGCACCCCCGGATCCCGTGGTTCTAGCACGGTCGCTTAAACTATTATAATTGGCCTAATATCTGATTTTAAAACATGTTTATCCTATAGTGCAATTTTAAAATTATTTACCGCTTTTACTTAATTTTAAGGAAATTGAACGTCGTTTAAAACGTGTTTTTGGATCACGTCACATGAAATGCACCCGGATCCTCGACATATTTTATTCAACGTTTTGGGATTTGGATTTGAGACACATGAAATGCACACCCGAATTTAGGAAGATAAGATTATTAAAGAACGCGCCTAAAGTGACTAACGTGTTATTAACTTTGCGGGAGGCCATGAAAGTTTGCTAAATGGCACGTCCCGAATTCTAAATATTTTTATATTTAAAGAGGGCCACATAATCTATGAATTTTATTTGGCGCGGCGCATCTCACTTTATTTTAAAGGCCACCCTAAAGGAACTATTATTTCTTCTATTGAGTATTGTCTCTAGAGGGCCTAATTAATAAACTACTATTAAAGTATCCAAACGAATTCGGGCCTCAAATTCAAGTCCAAACTCAAACAAAAGAATCTCCATCACTGAAAACCCCTTTAATTTGAGCTTGCTACTTAACTTGAAAGGCCCAAACTTGCATTATGAATTTAAACTCATAGCCTTAATAAAATCCTTAAGCATTTTTGGGCTTCGAACTTGGCCCAATAGTGAGATATTTTCAACCAATTTTATGAGGAGTTGCCGCAAATGGGCTTCCGAGCAGGCCCTGCGTGAGAGCGACGAAATTTGAACTTGGGCCCAAGCCACCCAGGCCTTTGAATTGATGAAATCAATTGAATTAGAAAGTGGTGGGCCAGGTGTAAATTCTGGACAGCTATTGTATGACTGGGCCATGTTAAATCAATTCCTTATGGCCCAGACAGTCCAGGTATAAACTAGACCAGTATTACTCAACAAATTACTAGATAGTGTAACCAATTTTCAATGTCCATTAATGACACACCTCCTTTTTGACACACCTACCCCGAAGGATATATGTATAAGGGAGTTTTTCCATTTAAAGTGACATTATTCGAAATGGGATCATTTATTTGATTTTAGAGTCGCCACTTGGGAAATGATTGGCTTTTGGTGTCCCAAGTCACCGATTTAATTTAAATCCCAAATCGAGGAAAAATCCGACTTCCCAATTGGAGTCTGCGAACCAGAAATTCTGAATAAGGAATTCTGTTAACCCGAGGGAAGGTGTTAGGCACCCCCGGATCCCGTGGTTCTAGCACGGTCGCTTAAATTATTATAAATGGCTAAAAATCTGGTTTTTATACATGTTCAAACCTATAGTGCAATTTTATAAATTTGTTTAACCGCTTTTAGTTAGTTTTTTTTTTTTGAAAGTGAACGCCGTTTAAGAGCGTGTTTTTGGATCACGTCACATGAAATGCACCCGGATCCTCGACACCTCTTATTCAACGTTTTGGGATTTGGATTTGGGTTGCATGAAATGCACACCCGTATTTAAGAAGGTAAAATTATTAAAAGCGCGCCTAAAGTGGCTAGCGTCTTATTAACTTTGCGGGAAGCCATGAAAATTCGCTAAATGGCATGTCCCGAATTTCTAAAATATTTTTAATAAAGCATTTAATGAGGGCCCCGCAATTTATGCATTTTTTTGTTTGGCGAGGCTCATCTCACTTTTATTTTTTAAAGGCCAACTTACAGCAACTAAGATTTTCTATTTATTTTTTGTCTCTAAAAGGGCTTAATTAATTTACATTTATAAATTCGGGCCTCGAGTTCAAGTCCGAATTCAAACAAAAGGGAGAACCCTCTTAATTTGAACCCGCTACCTAACTCGAAAGCCTAAATTCATATTGCAAATTAATTCCCATATTCCTAATATAATTTTTAAAAGGGGTTTTAAAACTCCCAGCATTCTATTGGTCCTCAACAATTAGCCCAAGACTTGTGATTTAAACTAATGGTAGACAAAAGAAGTCAAAACAAGAACAAGTAAGATTCACAAATACACTATCAGACCAACTAATTAAACAAAATACCATCTCAAACACATAGTAAGTATTAAATGAGACCTTCTATAACTTTAGATAATCTTTACATTTTTACCCAGCAAAATAGTTTAACTTAAAGCAACTAACCCATTCCAATCACAAATCTAACATGGAAAAACCCACGAAACGAATTCCAAAACCCGTACCACCTTTGCATTATTCTGACAAACGAATTCCATCAGACTAAATAAGAGAAAATCAATTATCTTCAAACTATTTTATTTAACAACAAGATCTAACATAATATAATAGTAATAAAGTAATTTGAAAAAAATTATTCAACTAATTCAAATGAGGGAGCATTTCAAACCAACGTCCCATGGCCTAATTAACCTGGGTCCACCAACTATTCAAATGACAGAATTAAACTTGTCCAATTTAACCATGGGCCAATGGCTCATTAATTCTTTTACCAACATACATGAAGATATCACTAAAAATTTAACCTGTTGAGTGATGAACACACATACAAGGTATTAAGTTAAGAGATGATAAAGCAAACAAGCCATTTAAGATCCTCTTACGCCCCTTTCTTTTAGATCTGTGCAGTGCAATAACTTTACTTGTTCAGGTAAATAGGGCATAAGCAGATATTAATCCAATGGAAATTGAGTCCAGTAAAACAGAGACCATTAACGCACAATTAAACCAGTATTATAGACATTTGAACTCATTAGAAAAGAAGAGATAAGGCTAAGAATGAACCTCAAACTTTCCAATATGTTGATTAGGAAATTCGTACAACAGATTGTCTATGAAGTGGATGAATGCAAAACCAACATTGTCGACCTCGAAAGGAACCTCGCCGGAAACCTCAAAGCTTGACTGAAACTTATAGAGAAGTGGCGTTTAAGGCTGTGATTTCTAGTTGGTTATTGATCTCTTTTTTAGCTGGGGTTTGGTGGTGTTTTGCTAGGTTTCGTTGCCTTTGAGATGCAGTTTTTGGACTGATTTTTGCTGCTCTTTGGAGCTGTTTTTCTGGATTTAAGTGGTGGCTGGTTCTCTATGTCCGTCGAAGAAGACGAACGACAGGGAGAGAAGGTCCTGAAGAAAACAAAATTCAACGGGGAAGGGGTGGTCGTTTTTGTTGAAGGCGAAACAGTCTGGTGGGGGAAGGAGTTGAAGAAGATGATGTGGGTGTGAGACTTACGATGTGGGGGAAGTGTTCTCTGGTGTTCAGTCGTCTTCTCTCAAAGTTGAACAAGATGAGGACGAGGGGTATGGGCCTAGGAACTATGGGCTAGGTATTTTGGGCCAAAGACTAGAAAATAGACTATAAGATTTATAAAAACGGGATAAACCAACCTAAAACTAATTTTTTCTTCTAAAATTATGTACAATTATAATATAAAAAATATAAGACTAATTTTAATTAATTGAACTAAACTATAAAACATAAAACTATATTTTATTTTTTTTATAAAAATAAAGATAGGGTACTATTTTGGTAATTTTTTTTAAGATTAAAAATGACTATAAAATATTAATAAACCTATTTTTTTTGTAATTTTTCATTTTCTTGTAATAAAATAAATTAAAATAGTAAAAATTAGTTGAAATGGCGATATTAGGCCTAAACTAAATATTTACATGCTAAAATGGGTAAAATTTCGGGGAGGGTCAAAAATCACATGTCAACAATTAACAATGAATCAATGAGCCAAATCCTGCTTTGCTTTTAATGACAAGTGACTGGACAAACTGAGTATAATTAATAAGTTCTAAAAACTGAAACATGAGCGGCTGAATGTTTGATTTTGNATGGTGGTATTAGTACCTTGTTGTGCTCATTCCATTGGGGGGAAGAAGACTAAGAAAGATATGCCATTTTTGGTAATAAAAATTATAAAACATACCCTTGGCCTTGAATATCTCTTCGCAATATTTTTTTGTCTTTAACTTGCAGTTATTTATAAGCTATAATATATATACATAATATACAATATATACTACAAGAAAATACATAAGGGAATTTATATACATAACATACAATATATACTACAACAAATTATATAATGGAATATATATACATAACATACAATATATACTACAAGAAAATATATAAGGGAATATATATACATAACATACAATATATACTACAACAAATTATATAAATAATGGAATATATATACATAACATACAATATATACTACAAGAAAATATATAAGGGAATATATATACATAACATACAATATATACTACAACAAATTATATAATGGAATATATATACTTAACATACAATATATACTACAAGAAAATATATAAGGGAATATATATACATAACATGCAATTTATACTACAACAAATTATATAATGGAATATATATACATAACATACAATATATACTACAACAAATTATATAATGGAATATATATACATAACATACAATATATACTACAAGAAAATACATAAGGGAATATATATACATAACATACTTATATAATGGAATATATATACATAACATACAATATATACTACAAGAAAATATATAAGGGAATATATATACATAACATACAATATATACTACAACAAATTATATAATGGAATATATATACATAACATACAATATATACTACAAAAAAATATATAAGGGAATATATATACATAACATACAATATATACTACACTATACTAGTATACTATACTAGTATACTATATGTATTATATTTACATGAAGAAGTAGTACTATATATACTACAAAACAAGATTTTTCAAAATGAGGGGCCCACCCCCAATGACCACCAACGGTCATATTAATTGCACAAATAGCAGTTTTTTTTTAAATTTACAAAACTAACCTTCTCTAACACTATAAGTACCCCCCTCCCTCTTCTTCATTTCAATACTCAATACTCATTTCTCAATCTAAATTTCTCTCAATCTCTCAATCTCCAATTTTCAAGACTTCAAGTCTCAATCTCAATTTTCAAGTTAAATCATGCCTCGTTCGGAAAGAGTGCGCTTTTGTTTCGCAATACTATGAAGTGCTTGAAGAAAATGAAGAAGGCCAAATATTAAAGTGCAAGAACTGTGGAAGAGTCTTAAATTTTCGTTCAGGGTGTACCACAGGCATTTTAAGGAGGCATATAAAGTATTGTGTTGAGGGTATTTATCCGCAAATTCGTCTTTAAGATTTTTCAACAATTTGTGTTATTTTAAAATTATTAGACGTATTTATGCTTCATGTTGTACTTTGTTATTAATTTATTATGCATGCCAATTTAGTTTTACTATTGATTTGTTATTTTACATTTTCGTCAAACACTTTAATAATTAGATTTCTATATTATATATACCACATATATTTATATAGCCATGCATAAGAGCAATTTATATATATACATACACATATGGTTTACAAGAAATTGCCCTAAATAAAAAAATTAAAAAAAAAGCCCAAAAATAAAAAAGCCCGTTAGGCCCGCTAAGCCCACGAGCCCGGCCCATTTAGCCCAGGACCATATGGGCTTAGGCCCGTCACGGGCTGGTCCTACCCGTTGAGCCCACGAAGCCCGGGACCGCGAAGCCCGGGACCGCCAGAGCCCGGGACCGCTAAGCCCAGGCCAGTTTAGCCCGGCCCGTTTAGCCCATTTAGGCCCGGGCCCGGGACCACATACAGCCTTACATCTGGATAAGTAGGTTTCCCTTTGAACTTTCCGTAGTGAACATATGTCAGATATATTCGGTCAATCGGTAGAATTGATATCTTTGAACCGTCGAACTTTAGTGTATACCTAGACAACCATATGTCACACAACCAACCCTTAACCGTCTTTTGGTTCTCATTGTTGTGTTCGTTTCAGCCATGAACACCGCCTGGTTTCATAAGTGTGTAGAGAATTGGCCTTACAAAATTATCATTGAAGCGGCTTCCACTTCACACTTACATAGGTGATTCCTAAACGTGTAATCCTTTAGATTGACACTATTTGATAAATACCACATCAAACTTAGGTAATCATTAAAGAACGTGTAAAGTTCTATCCTTGTTACTGAACATTGTCTTCATCACGAGAAGGGACCAAAGATTTTACTTTGACAATGTTGAACCGGTCAATCACAACTTTGTTTGAGCTCCTTGAACCTAGATCTCGGAACATCCAAAATTCTAGGTAGAGTTACCGCCATGTTGACTTGTCCTCGGCCATAGTCCCATTCCCTTAGATGATTTCTCAACTCCCTCTCTAGTTAAGCCTTTTGTAAGCGGATCCGCCACATTATCCTTTGATCTTACATAATCAATAGTGATAATTCCACTAGAAAGTAGTTGTCTAACGGTGTTATGTCTTTGTCGTATATGACGAGACTTTCCGTTATACATAAAGCTCCCTGCCCGTCCTATTTCGCAGCTCACTATCGCAATGTATGCAAATAGGAGCCAAAGGTTTTGGCCAGAACGGAATGTCTTCTAAGAAATTTCGAAGCCATTCAGCTTCTTCACCGGCTTTATCTAAAGNTTCTTAATCATCGTTAGTTCCGGATCGTTGGATTGATGAGATCCAACGGTCACGATTAAAGGGTGAAAAAACGACGTCGTTTTGTTGTTTGAAGGTCTGGACCGGATCAAAGGTGATTCTGGACTGGATTTTGAGCGGGTTTTTGGGGAATTTGGCTTGGGCTGGGGCAAAATTGGCCCAAACAGACTGGCCCTTTTCCCTTTCTCTTTATTTTCTCTTCAATTACTCCCTTTCTTTTATTTAAATTCAATTCATTTTCATTTTATTTTTTTAGAGTTTTGTTAAATACAAAATTAAAATGAGAAGACCTGATTTAACTCTAATTTTCTAAAATTAACTAAATCCTAATTTAAAAGAAAACTAAGAAAAATCAAAAATTAAAAGTAAAAATGCAAAAGGACTATTTTGTTATTTTCTCTTATTTTTTGCAATGTTAATTAACTAGTAAACCTAAAAAATATAAAATTGGGTTCTAAATGCAAATGTGCTATTTTTTTTTTTTTTTGTATTTGTTTTTATGAATTATGCCAACTAAAAATGCACCCAAAATGCAAACAAACACAAAAAATCATGCAATTAATTCCCTAAAATTCAAATAATAAAAGAAAAATCCCGATTCTAAGAATTCTATAGGAATAATTCAAGCGAGGCAAAAATCACGTGCTCACAATATCCAAATTAATTATTCCTAAGATCATACCTTTTCATTAAAAACTTAATCCAAAATCTAAAAGATCCCAAGAAATCAATTCAATGCATCTCCAATAATTATTCGAACATCCCAAATCAACAAGAAAAGCAATTTCAAACTTTGCCTTTTTAATTCTTTATCACCAACCTAACTTAGCTGACCCATTCCATCAAAATTATGGACTCTTTTATGAAACCATAGCTATGTACAACGTTGATTTGACCTCTCTTACATTTGCCACGTGTTTCTAGTAGAAATTCTCTAATAATATTGACCCCTCTAGAAACTATTTTTAGCACATCTATTATGGTTAAGACAATGATCAAACTTTCCTATGTATTATGTCTTGGAGTCAATAGCGGTTACTGCTAGGAGAAATGGTAAAATTGTATTCGTATGATTTATAAATTACGGGTTCGAGCTGAAAAAGTAGCCATTAATGGTTGCTCGTATTAGAGTAGGCTCTCTACATCACATCTTGGAGTGCATGTGATCCTTCCTCGAACCCTAGGTGGACATGGAATGCTTGGTACACGTACCGCGTTGTCCTGCCAATGGTGATAATTACTTAAAAGGCTCAAACATCATATTCAGCAAATTTTAGGAGGATAATGTTAGGACTGAAAAAAGTCAGGTGTCATGCGGAAGCTAGTAAAGCAAACCTTCAACGACGATAAATCAGACAACAAAAGAGAAATCTACCAAAAGAGACACAAACATTTAACGTGGTTCGGTCAACTGACCTACGTCCACGGCGGAGATGAGCAATCCACTATAATAAAAAGAGAGTACAAAATATCGAGAGAACAACCTCACGAAGAGGCAAACACAAGTGACACACTAACAGTTGTCCCGTAAAGTTCTCCCCCTAAACACGACTCTCAAACCCCATGTGGCTACATTGTGGATGCTACTGAATGAGAAGGACGGATCTTCAATTTATAAAACTCCAAACTTTTTCCAACAAGAAAAGGGACTAGCCAAATATGGAAGAATTATATTTTCCTTCTAGGAAAAGAAAAACTCAATTATGGTAAATATGTTGCCCTTTCCTTCATGAGATAAG